CATTCTGAAATGCTTAACGTGGCTTAATGCATTAATTGAGAGTGTTTTTAAAGACCAAACTCAGTATACACATTATTTGTAAATCATACAAATAAGGATTTACAATTCATTGTACAGACAAGAAGACGAGTCCATAATAAGAACGCAATGCGTTTAATTACAAGTTAAGCATTTTCCTCCAATAGAAAACCCATTATAAGGATAGCGTTTAATGTGGCTTAATGCATTTAGACAGTGTTTTAAAAAGACCAAACTCAGTAAACACATTATTAATAAAGCATTCTATGTTCAGACAAGCAGTTGAGCCCATAATAAGAACGCAATGCGTTTAACGTGTTAAGCATTTTACCCACGTGATCATGAGAAAAAAACAACTAGGAAAAAATAATAAGGCATGGCCTCATAGAAATTTCGTAGTGTCCATCCTACTTTTATTTAATTATTTATTGGTTTATTTATAAATATAGAGTATATAAAACGGGGATATGCCAAACTGCTTGTTGTGTTTCATATTTGTGTCAGTGAAATTGGTTTGTTGCGTTCACTTGTTTATACTGTAATGAAAGTTGTACAATGCTGCCAAAGAATGGGATACTGGCATTGTATTTTCATGGATGAGAGGCTTTTTTGCAGGTTTTGCCTTTAAAGCTACAACAAAGATGGCCTGACGAAACCATTATCACTTCAAAGGCAGCACTCACTTGTAGTCTCTGCTATCAGCCCTCAGAAAGAGGCAAGTGATGAGACTCAAGACAAGATAAACAGAGACATTTCTCTCACTTAGTGGTGCAGGAACAGTGCAGCAAGAGATGAAGGCGGGGGAAAGGACAAAAAACAGTGATAAGACGGAGAAAGAGAAGATGGTCTAGAAGCTGATGCCTTCTCCATTCAATATTTCTCATTCTCACTGGCTCCATCATTCTCGTCTCGCTCCGGCATGATCTCCCCCTGTGCGTTTCATGGCTGCTCAGACAGAACTCGTAATCCTATCGCAAAAGTATCTGCTTCTTTTGCAAATGTTTACCTCTTAGCATGAGAGCGAGATGTGGTTTTATTTTCACTCAAACATGATTCCCTGGTGTTCATGAAATAATTATTACAACCACAGCAGAAAATAACAGCAGAGTAAATTACATATAGCCACGACAGTGCGTGAGGAATTGGTTTGCGCTAAATGACAAAGACAGATCCCTTAGTCAATAACATACACTGTACAATGATAGAAATGCGTCAGCTGGGAGAGAATTTGCTTTATCGTTTATACTGCAGTAGATGTATTCACACAGCTTTCAGTTGGCAGAATTGCTTTGTTATTTACACATATTAATGATACATAGAGAAATGTAAAAAAACATATACTGTGAGACATATCCCAAAGCCAGTCAAGATGAGGAAGATGTTATTTATTCTTATACTTTTCTTAAATTACCCTTTTTAATCCCTATTTAAAGTCAGTTTTTTAACTCTAGTGTTGTGTAATGTGAATCTATTTTTGCACTGATGCCAGATTTATTCATTCGTTTTGAACAAGCTTTTATATTGGTTCACATCTATGAAGTTCCAAACAAAATGAAAAATAATTGGTTTTATTTGTAAAGTACATTCACAGCATTTTAATTCAGTCCATTAAGCAATATTAGGCATTACAGTTTAGTATATAAACCACATCATCAAAAAAATTTTTAAATGTGTGTTTTGAGAGCAGGAACATTGCCTCTGAAGCTGCACAAGAAAAGCAGGGTGTTGTGTCACTGCTTGCAATGTAGTGAGAGAGAGAAGTACATTCGCTAGAGTGCAGGCCTAAAAAAGCCTTGCTAACTTTCTACTTTTATATTCTAACAAGGGCTTGTCTGCGCAACAATTCAATCCATAAATTTAACAGCATCTATGTTCCTTAAGAAAAAAAAGATGGAGAGCACTGTTTCGGCTTCTCTTTGTTCTTACCCAGAGAATACAAATCCAAAAATGTGCAGTTGTTGTTATTAATCGGATCTTACTTAGAATTCAAAGCATCAACAAACCTGGCTTGAGCTTGGCACAACCCCAAATGACAACAGTGAGCTCCTATGTGAAGAAATTCATGCATATGTGTGAATGTTTTTGTATCTGTTTCCTTTATGCATTGCTTAGCATGTGCAAAACTGTCATTTTTGAAGTCGGAATTAAACCCTGCATTTGTATAAGTACAGTAAAAACAGTAATATTGTGAAATGCAATTGCAATTGATTTATATTTGAATATATTCTGAAATGTAATGTATTCCTGTGATGGCAAAGCTGATAGCAGCCATTACCTGAGGAAATAAGACTGGAAGATATTATGTTTAGGTTTAATTTCAGTTATTATCATGCCACTTCCAGTACAGGTGATCCACTAACCTGTACCCAGTCAGAAAATGAAATGCAAGTCATAGAAGCATTCACAAATCATAAATCTTTCACAGTTTTGAATATTTTCACATGAGACAGAAACATCTTGACAGCGACTCAAATTTGTATTACATTCACTGAATATTCATGAGGCGAGACTTGCGCTGTGCTCTAAATGGATGCGGTTGGTCTGTGGAGGCGGTGTTCTCAGAACGCCGTCCTCACCTCAGAGCATCACGGCTGGGCTTGTTGCCATGACTTCAAGGTTCAAAGTTTAGACTTTGACAAAGACTTGGCTGTCTGTCAGTCATATCCAAATATGCAGTTATTCAGTCAGTCCCTCTCCATAATTAAAACGGAGTCAGGCTCAGCAGTAAGGATTTGCATGGGTGAAGGTGCTACTGATTCAGCAAAAACACAGAAGGGGAATGAGTTATATTCTCACATCCAGAGGCTAGAGATGATCTATGCCTGCACGGCAAGTTCCTCCACCAAATAGACTGATAATAAGTGCGCAGATGTTTGTTGTGGGTTGTGTGTGGGAGTGTGAATGAATCTGTGCACATTCAAACAACCTCGTTTCTCTATCAAGAGTTTCAATAGCTTGGAGGTTGAGTGGACCATGAGAAGTTGGTCAAACAATTCTGAGAAGAAAGCCAGGGTTAAATCCGACATAATTTATACATATTGAACATGGATTCTTTGTTGGTCCTGGAAGAACATTTGTATCAACAGTCATAAATAAACCTAATGGTAGAATCCGATTGGTTGATAAAAATGTTGATCCAGGAACATGTTGTACTTGGGTAAATTGCATTAAGCACAGAGTCATCAAGTTGGACAGTGTTAGCTCTCCTAAATACACCAGCTTGGGCTGTTTTTTATGCTGGTCTAGTTGATATTGTATATTTAATTGTGCATTAAGACTAGTTAAATATTTTCATACTATAAATAATGTTTTGATGACTAAACTTTGAGACTTTGTAGTTGCCTCCTTTAGTGAAGCCTGAAAAGTCAACGTCTCTGTGGCTCATCAGATATGGTGCTTGCAGCCATAATCAAAGGTGATGGCATGGGTCACCAAATGCTCCTCCTGGAGTTGGTCCCAAACATCTGGCCATCACCTTACTTCAACAGCAAGCTTTTTATAAGGCTTTCTCAGGCTAATTCTGTTCACAATGCTTTTTAACAGAAGCAAGTTTGCCCTTTTTTCTTTCAAAAGCAACAAATGCTATGGCAGAACAGTTACCTGGCACCACGGGTAGGAAAATGTCACAGCTCAGTGAATTTTTTTGACAGCTCCGGTGGTTAGGGCTTAGGTTAGGCAATCCAAGGTATTGATCCGTTAATTCAACCACTTGGTACGGAAAAGGCAGGGTCAGCCTTTGAGTGCCCATTGCTCTGTCAGAACACAGGCCCTATCAGTGTTCTCCTTTTGTTTTTCAACTGTTTTCTTAGGGAAAATCAATGGAGTCATTGAGTCATGATTCATGCCTTGACAAGCTCTTAATCTCTCGTGTATTGCATTTCACATCTCTTTCTCCACTCCGCAAAGCCTGCCCGCTAATATCCCGGATAATTTCCATAATAAGCAAGCAGGCAAAAGAGGATTTCTGTGCATTCTGTGTAGTGTCCTGCCCTAACTTGATTTATGTGTGAAATACACATTCATAGGATCCATTACAAATGTGAGAGCGGAAATCATAATCCATTAAGCAGCACCGGGGGGTAATCATTAAACTGACTAAGACTGGCCTGATGCCTCATTAGATTTTGCTGGACACTCTGTGGCTTGATTGATGGCTAAAAGCATGATTAGCCATTGTTTCACATAGTTCTCAGTAGTTGGATTATCTGTATGTGTTATAGGAGCCAAAGCGTAGCATTAGCCGTAATGAGGGTTGAAAAAAGGCCACAGCGGGATGTATTTTTGAACAATTTCAAGTCCAATCTTCATTTACTAAGCTTCGCTCTGGAATTATATGGTAGCGCAAACATATGGCTCACAAAACTTGTTGTGTGGCTCTCAGGGCTACACAGAGTGGATGCTGGTAATCATAGTAAACGATGCAGAACCACTTAACACGGGACCAGTCGGAGGTGTTCTCACACTCAGACTCTGACACTATAAAGCGCCTAGCTCGTGTTGCCGAATAGAGGAAGTTTCACTTGAGAAACTTGTGGTCTCACTTTCCAGAGATGTACAAAATCACTTTCTTATCTTCCCCCTGAGTACACAAGAGAAATCCTCAGTGCCTGAGAAGGTCAAAATATGATGTTTTAACCTTCCTTTCCTTCATCACATCCCAGCCATTCTCTGAGACCAAATTAAACCCATCTGGGAGATTCGGTCCACACAAGACAAGGGAATTAGTTCTCTAAGTGTCTCTTATCTTACTTCCTCCACCGTTTGCCTTGCACGCTCTATTTCTTCTTCAGTAATGAGTGTCTACCCAATTTAGGTCCTTGTCTCTCTTGGGAAATAAATACTCCTCAGCAATTTCAATGAATGAAACTGAGAATCTCCAAGTTGACCTCCAAGTCAAACGCCATGACTTTAGTCTGTTAATGCTATGCTGGTATTCTAGTATTGTTGTAACTGACAGTGTTTTCTCTCATTTCCTTCCGTAGCGGCTCCTAAAGGCCCCAAGCTTATGATAACCCCTACCAGAGCAAAGGTAGGGGATACGGTTCGCATCACCGTCCAAGGTTTCCAGGTAGGATCTCCAGTGGTAAGTCCATGGGGGTTACGAAACCAGGGCCAAGTTCAGTTTTGGATACGAGGAGGTTTGTCCCGCATGTGTAGTTAAGCCTGTGTGATGTACGGCTATAGTGACCATTCTTACAGAGTGTGCAATACAACACGTGTATCTGTCAGCTGCTGACCTGGTACTGCTATCCATGAGCTATCAATCCAAATGGTCCGACCTGTCCGAGGAAGGGTGCACTTCATCTGGCAAAATCAAACCGTTTAATCATGTAAGTTGCTATGAAATCAAAATAGGGGGGTTTCAAAGTCCTTTAAAGGTCATGAGAACCAGAACTCTGAAAATGATCTATTGGAAAGTACTTTAGGCTGCAACTCAAAAAAAGACCTTGAGCACTCAAGGTTATTAGAAAGTACTGGACATATATGGGTTGTGAGATATGATAAGAGTCTAATATAAGAATCAAATTGCATTTGTAAGTGGTCTAAAGACACTCAGACTGAGTGACAACAAAGCTCTTTGGATGAAATGCCATTTAATTTGCTATTATCTTTTCTTTAATTGATTTCTCAATTGTTAGCACTCTATATTTCAGTGTCATCTCTATAAACAGAATGAAGGAAACAAAACTAATGCAGCGTTGCATTTAATAAATCTCTTTAAATGAAAAATTGTCATAAAATTGCTAAATGATAACATGGGTCACATTTGTTCCATTTAGATATTTATCCGGTTTGCATGCTGTTAGCTGTTAAAGGAAATAATTGGTGAGTCAGAACTTTACAAAAAAAATATTTTCTGGTAGTGCTTTATGTTAAAGACCAATTCTCACTATTAACTAGTTGCTTCTTAGCATGCATATTACTAGCATATCAGCTGTTTATTAGTACTTATAAAGCACATATTGATGCCTTTTTCTGCATGACCGTATTGTAGATCCCTTAATCCTACCCCATACCTAAACTTAACAACTATTAGGAAAGTATTCATAGATGACTCTTGGTTAATAGTGAATATGTGTTCCCTATTCTAAAGTGTTACCAAATTTCTTATTAATTAGGTATTGTTTTCCAATAAAAATATCTGAATAATATTGGACGTAAAAATATCTTTAAAACAAGAAACACATATTTGAGCAGCAAAATTCTGACACTTTTTAAGAATGATTAGTTAAGTTTATTTTTCTTACCCTGTTGGCAAATAGTATGATACTTGTTTTAAGCACAGAATCATGAAATTGTTATATTCGTGCCTAATAAAAAAAAACAATTCAGTTAGGACGAGTTAAAAAAATAAGCTTAATTAGGTCCTATTATAGCTTGTTGTGGTATAGTAGCGTATAAGGTATAATATTTTCTTTAATCTTAATAATGGCCGTTTTGTTTCTCATATAAATGTATCTTGTTTAAAAGATGCTTTCCAGTAAAATGCTATAAATAAGACACTAAAATGGATCTAGAAAATTATTTTTGCGGTGAAAAATCTAAGTTTGACAACAACTAGCCCCAGAAATAAGGCAGGCTGATTTATAATGCTAACATTTCGCTTCTTTTTGCTAACGCTAAACTCCTCTTACGCACTTCATCTGGCAAAATCAAACCGTTTAATCATGTAAGTTGCTATGAAATCAAAATAGGGGGGTTTCAAAGTCCTTTAAAGGTCATGAGAACCAGAACTCTGAAAATGATCTATTGGAAAGTACTTTAGGCTGCAACTCAAAAAAAGACCTTGAGCACTCAAGGTTATTAGAAAGTACTGGACATATATGGGTTGTGAGATATGATAAGAGTCTAATATAAGAATCAAATTGCATTTGTAAGTGGTCTAAAGACACTCAGACTGAGTGACAACAAAGCTCTTTGGATGAAATGCCATTTAATTTGCTATTATCTTTTCTTTAATTGATTTCTCAATTGTTAGCACTCTATATTTCAGTGTCATCTCTATAAACAGAATGAAGGAAACAAAACTAATGCAGCGTTGCATTTAATAAATCTCTTTAAATGAAAAATTGTCATAAAATTGCTAAATGATAACATGGGTCACATTTGTTCCATTTAGATATTTATCCGGTTTGCATGCTGTTAGCTGTTAAAGGAAATAATTGGTGAGTCAGAACTTTACAAAAAAAATATTTTCTGGTAGTGCTTTATGTTAAAGACCAATTCTCACTATTAACTAGTTGCTTCTTAGCATGCATATTACTAGCATATCAGCTGTTTATTAGTACTTATAAAGCACATATTGATGCCTTTTTCTGCATGACCGTATTGTAGATCCCTTAATCCTACCCCATACCTAAACTTAACAACTATTAGGAAAGTATTCATAGATGACTCTTGGTTAATAGTGAATATGTGTTCCCTATTCTAAAGTGTTACCAAATTTCTTATTAATTAGGTATTGTTTTCCAATAAAAATATCTGAATAATATTGGACGTAAAAATATCTTTAAAACAAGAAACACATATTTGAGCAGCAAAATTCTGACACTTTTTAAGAATGATTAGTTAAGTTTATTTTTCTTACCCTGTTGGCAAATAGTATGATACTTGTTTTAAGCACAGAATCATGAAATTGTTATATTCGTGCCTAATAAAAAAAACAATTCAGTTAGGACGAGTTAAAAAAATAAGCTTAATTAGGTCCTATTATAGCTTGTTGTGGTATAGTAGCGTATAAGGTATAATATTTTCTTTAATCTTAATAATGGCCGTTTTGTTTCTCATATAAATGTATCTTGTTTAAAAGATGCTTTCCAGTAAAATGCTATAAATAAGACACTAAAATGGATCTAGAAAATTATTTTTGCGGTGAAAAATCTAAGTTTGACAACAACTAGCCCCAGAAATAAGGCAGGCTGATTTATAATGCTAACATTTCGCTTCTTTTTGCTAACGCTAAACTCCTCTTACTTGTGTTTGTTTTCTGTTTGGTATTCTCGCCAGAAGGCATAAGAGAATCTGATTAAAAACAAATCAGCTGTTTGTTGATGTATTTCACTGCAGCTTTCAGGGATTTTGCTGCTTTCGTTTGTTCTTGTCAGACTAGCTAGCAAAACAGGTGTGAGCACAGAGCTAGCCAGGAGCGCTCTACTGTCAACGGCACCAAATTTATACTTGCTTCAATAGTCCATCAGTTCCACAAGCCTATTGAAGCAGGGAGATTGTCTCAGTGTAACTATCACTGTCTGCCAAGAGCTAAAAAAATAAAAAAATCTTCCCCAGGAGATAAACACAGAACAGTTTGGTGATGATCCACCCAATCTTTGTGACAGCTCTGACTCAGAGATGTGTCTAGCCAACGGCATTCAGGTGGAAATAAATTAGACCTGATATGCTATCATCACTGAATCTACTTTACGCTATTTTGTTTGTCATGAATTTAAAAGAATGTTACAGTAGTTGTGTTTTATTCCTCGTGGAAATTTCAGGTTTAGCTGTGTTCTAGCCGGTTAAAAGGGGCTGTGAGCTTGTGTAAAATGGTCATTAGCTGGTCTATACTAGTGATTAGCAGATGTAGAATTGTTATTCGCAGATCAGAATTGGTCATTTGCAAGCTTGTAGACCATTTAGATGGCCAGCAATCCCAGTCTAATCCCAGTCAGTGTTCAGTTAGACCAGCTAATGACCAGCCTGAACCAGTTCAGATTAGCTAAAAACTATGCTTCAAAATACATCTACCATCTAAAACTGAATTTTCCATTAAGAATGCCCTCTCTTTTTTGGGTTTTGGATGGAAAAAGCGCTAAGACGGAGTTACCTGAGTAGAGGAGGGAGTTGGTTGGTACATAGGCAGTTTGTCTGGCAGATCTGTGTGTTTATTCCACCCACATTTTACATATTTGAAGTACACCTTTAAATAATAGAAGAATGGTCACCATAAACAGGCTTGACGGGGACATAAATCCAGTTTGGATCTTAATATTTGCACAAAAGATTTCAGAGGATTTTAAAGCCAATAGAAATGTATTTGGAAGAACATCTCCCTTATCCTAAGCTGCTCCACGGCCTTGGGTTTCACATGTAGATAAGATAAATGTTATCACAGAAAACTAAATACTACCCTGCAGTTCAAACAGTCACAAAAAAACTCAATATCCCCTTTGGTTTACTTAGACTCTAGTTAACCACCAACAAATGAGGTCACATTGGTGCCTTCTTCCTTTCTAATTTAAAGTTGCATTTGAGTACTGAGCATTTATACTCTCCAAGAGCTTGTTTTATTATGTCTTGATTTTAACCAGTCAAGTGCCATGGGGGATATTTTTTTTATCTGGATCTGACCTGATTCCACCAGCAAGTGCAAACTCATTTCACTGCTGTCATGGTGTGAATGTGGAAGTCCAGTGACACAGGCAAGCCACACTCTCCAATGAGCCATTATCAAAGGTCACCCAGACAAGCCACATGATTTTGTGAAGTTAGATGGATTGTGCCAGCCAGTCACTTATCCCACCTAGAACATGGGTAGATGGTTTGATCAGCAGGGGAAAGAAATCCTCTACCATGTCCGGAAACTGGATCTACAATTAATCGGGACGTAGCCTTGGCACAGACACTGAGATTTCTGAGTTTCATAACACCTGTCCTCTTGTGTAGAATCAAATGGTCTTATAGTGAGCTTTCACAAGTATTAAAAGGCAAAGACTTGCTCAAATAGACATGAAATTATGTATTGTGTTAGTGGGCTCCCAGGCATAGCTGCAGACAATGCTACACCATGGACCACTGCAAAGGAGCACATAAGAATAATTGATATTCTTTTGCCTCTTGTGGATTACCTGTTTAATGTGATGTTTTTTCATTGCCCACCTAACAACCATCAAACCCCTTACATTCCTCTTCCTGGAAGTCTATTACAAGAAATGCTTAAATTGTCTCAATATAGTATTGCATTTCATTGATGACTTGGTGCAAGATTTATTTATCTTATTTTCTGTCCTTTCTTCCAAATGGAAAGGTATTGATTGATTGTTTGTTTGTTGTTTTAGTGTTTTTTTTAAAGGAAGCATTTTTTATTTTACGAGTTTATATTGTTCATAATATAACGTTTCTTAATGATATAAAATGCCTTTGAAGCTAATAATTGTTTAAATGGATAAATGTTTTATATATAAATTCTGTATTAACTAAATAAATGTAAAATAAAGCATTAAAATCAATTGTGATTTTACACCTCATAACATTATGATGTATTATTAAAAAATGGATATTCATTTTGAGAAATTATCTTTCGAAAGAAGAAAAAGCTCAAATGAGGTGAGCATTAGATGACAACAAATGTCAAATGTAGGATAAATCATGCACAATTTAAATTGCAATTAAAAAAAAGTAATCAAATATAAGTCAGTAACTGATTTAGTACCGATATATTTTGCATCCCTGTCTTCTTCGGACTGATTTTTTTCTCTTCATCCTTTTTTCCTTTATCTTCACATCCTTGTGTACTAAACACACACACTACTTCCAGAATGAGGTGTTTCCTGAGCCTCTGTTCACCTGGACGCGGGTTGGTGGCAGACTGCTGGATGGCAGTACTGAAAGAGATGGCAAGGAACTGGTGCTGGAGCGAGTGCCTGCAGAACTAAATGGCTCCATGTACCGCTGCACGGCCCAGAATCCACTGGGCTCCACTGACACACACATACGCCTCATTGTTTTTGGTGAGTAGCTCCAACAGTAACTCCTATTTCTATCCTAAATGCAATAATTAAAGGTCTTTGTTTATGGAATTCTGTTTCTCATTGTATTCTATTGGATTTAGTTTTAGTTTTTTGTCTTTTGAGGACAATATCCTTTAAATGAAGCCAGTATTTCGTCAAGTCATTCAATGATTTTAGTCAAATTTACTCAAATTTTAGTCAACAAAAATAACATTTTAGTTCATGATAAAGTGCGAAATAAAACCAAGCATTGCATATAAGGACATTTATTTATTTAAACTAAGCAGGGAAGCAAATGCAGCAGGGCAGGTGTGTGAGAGCAAGGACAGAATCAGGTCAACGTGAGCGCCGATCTTGAATCGAGTCTCAGATGCCCCTCGTATGCAAGTCAAATGGCTTGTAGAACAAGGCCTCGGGAGGTCACTATGTCTGACATGTGTCTGAATCTCAAACACCCACTCGACTCACAAAATAACACCCTAAAGACTCTAGTGCTCACAAATGGCCTGAAGTCTGGAATTCTCCTGCTGAATCCTCAGTTAAAAAGGCTGGTTATGTTCAGAATGGCAAACTACTATAGTACTTTACATGCATAGTTTATAGTTTGCACAGTATGTTAATTTTTGTATGGCTGGCCTAATGCATTTGTTGAAATATGCAGTGTACATTCCGAGCATAATGCATGAAATACTGTTTGCCACACTATTGCATCTCCTTCAGTACTGTGATTGAACTGAAGTAAAAATGTTTTAACTTTTTAAAAAAAAAAGAAAAATATATATATATATTCAATTAAAAATATATATAATCTTAAATTAATAGTTTTGTTAAAATATGAATTCTATTCATATTAAATAATTTAAGAATTACATATGCGACAAGTCGTGAGGTCGTGACAACAATGTAGTATACTAATTTAAATATATTTACTCTTCATTTTTGAGGCATTATACAGTATACTGCACTGCGGTTCCATTCTGAATATAACCACTGAGTTTTGACCATAAAATAAGAAAAAAATGTATTCATATTGTGGATATGAAGTGGTACTTATGTTATATTAATTATAGCACTAACACCAGTATAAGCCATAAAAGTAGAAGTAATGTTATATATTACCACTTGTTTTGTCAATGAAAATAAGAGAGATGGTAATAAAATTAAATTGCTCATAATACTTACGACAGCCATCATCATTTAGTGCTTATTGAACATTGTGTAGTATGCATGAATGTTAAAAGTGATCCTGCACCATTGGACAGCTCGTTCAAACCTTTTAGACTGCATTAGATGATTAGGGAAAGTACCTGAGAAAAGAAGCTCGCTCATACAGATTTCTTAATGCAGAACTCGAGAGTCTAGCAGGGAAGCTCGATTTAGGCAACTGCTTGGAGGCTTTAACACTTGCTAAAAAACACGGTCACACTGCCCTTCAGCAAGCTGCTCTCCGTGTCATGTCTGATAATTACCTTCAGGTCTTCAGAGACCCAGGCCTCTTTGGCAGGCTGAAAGCAGGGGAGCGTGATCACATCCAAACACAACGCATGAGAGGAAGGAAGTGGTTAGTGGTCGCAGATATGGATTCCCCTGATTGGAGTAGACGTCCGTCACAGTCGACAGATTTAGGGTCTGAATCAGTTAAGTCGTCCAGCGGTATTTATTACTACGAGGATTATAAGGACACATGGCACCTTCATACCCACATTCCCCAGGAAGTGTTATCTAAAGGTTGCGCCATGTGCACCATGGATAATTATCTATTTATCGCTGTGGGTTTCCAAGGCCCAGACCGTGAAGTGACCCCTTCGAAGAAAGTGTACTGTTACAACCCAATGACTTCCATTTGGAGCGAAATAAGCCCCATGAATGAGGCAAGGCCTCACTGCAAACTTGTGGCTCTGCAGGGCCATCTGTACGCCATTGGAGGCGAATGCCTGTCAACGGTTGAGCGCTATGACCCCCGGACAAACCGGTGGACCTTTGTGGCACCTCTTCCTAATGAGACATTCGCCGTAGCTCACAAGGCTACAGCTTGCAACGGTGAACTGTTTGTTGCAGGGGGCACGTTGAGATACACCCTCTTGCGCTATAATCCCAAGACCAACACGTGGCGAGAGAGCATGATCGTGGGCAGTAAGGACAAGACCACAGAAATGGTAGCGGTCAGGAACTTCTTGTACCGCTTTGACGTCAGTCCCCTGGGCATCAGCGTGTATCGCTTTCACGCAGTGGCCCGACTGTGGTACGAATGCTCTTCGATACGCCTTCCACATTGCACAGCCTTTCAGTGTGTGACTATGGACAATATTATCTACTGTGTGAGCCGTCAATTTACCTTGAGGTTCCTTGCAGATGAGGTATCTCCAAGCTTTGTTGCACAGGATTTGAAAGTGCTGTATCCGGCTAAAGGTATTTTGTTTCCGTTCATCCTTGTGCTTCCCGACAAGACCACTCAACAAACTTGTGTTTAAAAAGGTCAGATATTTCAAGTAGGAGGTTGTCTGATAAGAAAAAAACACTCGGGGGCCATATTATGCACATGTTAAAGGAATGCACCTTTTTTAATTAGTGGCAATTTAAATAAAATATCAAGGCTATTACATGCAGTTATTGTACAGCTAGATCACAATTACCCAGCACTTACTGATAAATAAATCTGCTGTCGCAGTGAAGGCTATTTGTTTGTTTGGGCCTTCAAACCACTCTGATGTCTAAATCAACCTTTAAATCTTGGAAATGTCTTGTGCAAGTGCTTAAAATGTTTCAGTAAATATACCACTTTTGAAACACTGTGTGGATAATGTTAACCAATCAATACTGTGTGTAGAATAAAACTGAACTGCAATTGTGGAGCTGGCATCATAAACAACATCAATGGCTGCCATTAGTACAATTTATGTAAGCTCTCTAATTATATTCATAGCTTTTTTTTATTTTCTTTCTGCATATTTGGAGTTGTTTCTCTGCATATCACACGATTAATCTTACATGATACCGGCATATTTTTTAAAAATAAAATGTAATTCTATTTGTTGTATCATATTTTGTTGTAATGTATTTTTTCCATGACATTTCCTCAAATTGTCATCTTGTCACAAGAAGTGGATTTCTTTCAGGTCAATGGCTTTACTCGTAAAGCATCTTTAATTTCTTAAAGCATTTTATGTCAACACTGTGTGGTTCTTTGCAAAGACAGTTTAACATCACAAGCAGTTTGGGGAGCCCAGAAGAAACGTTTTCATTGTGTATTCCATTAAACAATTTAGAGAGAACTAATGAATTAATGGGTTAGGAAGGAAGAATCTAATGCTTTGCCTTTTCTTGCACTTTTCTGTCTCTATCGTCTGAAGAACAGGGAAATAAAATTCTCTCATCTATTATAAGTGAGTCTTGGTTCTTGTGTTAGACTTCAATATATAATGAGTTCTGACAAAATGTGTGGTTGCAGCAAGTGGCGTTCGTATGACCAGGATCTTAATTAAATTTAAATGCAATTATGCTGTCAAAAGCAAAGCAATCACATAATCAATTTATGTTAATGAAAGTATACAATACAATCACTGTGACAATCGTGTATGCATATGTGATCAAAGAAAGCAGGCATGCAGAGGAGTGTGTGCTGTGATGCAATTCCCTGTTACGTCTCATTGCTCTCTGTGTGTAACTCTAGCGCCATCATGTGGGGGAGATCTCAAGGTCTGATGGAATCTTGACAGAACTAATTCAGTGACACATATGCAAAAATACATAGTTGGAAGTTCCACAGGCTAGCAGAAGAACACGGTGGGATAAAACCTACACAGCAGGAGGAGTGTGAACAGATGGTTGGACGTAAAATATAGCATCCGATTCCTTGTAATTAAACACTTTGATTCAACATAATTAAACACTTAATGGGATGGGAGTTAGGACAGTCCCCTTAGAGTGTCGATGAATGACTCGGCTATCTGAACTAGCACTGTGAGTACGACAGATCCAAATTAACTGTTGATTCAATGCCATTTTAGTGCAATAATGAAGCCTGTCATATCCTGAGAAAGGGCTTTGCAGGTAATTTTTTTTTGGTTAACACAGTTGGGTTCTCTTTCACTCACTACTGTGTGCATGAAAATAGGCCTGCAAATACACGCCAAAACCTGTAAAGCGCTTAAATACTGATGACCATTATTATTTCAGTGGGATTCAAAAGTTTGATTCTCCAACAAAAGCACAAGCTGCTGTTTGGGTCATCTCAAATTATGCCGAAGAACATAATTTTTACACACACTTGTGGAGTTCATGCAGCTCGAGTGCTGCTGTCAGTTCAACTTTTCACTTTAATAAATAAAAGTGCTAATAATATAATGTAATATAAAACGAATGCATTAAATACTAAAAGTATTTGAACTTTTGGACTACACTGCTGTTATTTGTCTTTGTGCAAACACAGTGAAATGCTCCTGCTTATTTGGTTTTAGATGCCATTAATCAATAAAATAAGCTACTCCGAGCCCTCTACCCAGGTTGAGGCCAGTCTGTGTGGTACTGGAGGGCTGAAGGTGGGGTAAGGGTCACAGCAGGCTGGCTGGATTACTGGAGACCTGCCTGCAGGGTTTGTGTTTCAGTGCCAGGTCCTCGTTGCTGAGGTTGGCAGGGAGCTGACTGCTGGAGAAGCGCTTGGGCATGCTGACGTGGTGAGAATAACAGAAGGCACTGATGGGGTGCAGAGGGTATGAAGCCCTATACTCGCTTAGTGTGGGCACAACTGCCCGCTGTTGCTCCATGCGAGCCCGCCAAGAAGCCGCCAAGCCAACATTAGTAGGGGGGCCTGTGTGTAAGAAACAAAGGGAGGCAGAGAGGGAAAAAATGAGACACATCACAAAGAGGAACATGTTCAAACAGACTGTGTGTAGTTTCTGTGCCACTAGTGTTGAAACAGTAATGACTCAACAAAAAGAGCAACATCGAAAAGACCACAGAAAGAACAGGGTTATTATCACTAGCAAAAACTATTAAAACATTTTTGTTCAACAAAATAAAGCTGTAATAAAATATAAATATTAGATGAAAATTAAAAGATAATTAGCAAAATTAGAAAAGAAAAAAAAGTTGAACTTGCACTGATGCACTAAAATTACTACCTAGAAATACACGAAATGCAACTGAAAAAAAAATACATTGAACCTAAATAGTAATATTCAATGAAAGAAGTGCAAAATTACTTAATGAAAATATTAATAAAACTACAATAGAATATAAATAATACCAGCCTATGAATGGCTTAGTTTTTAAAAGAATGTAAACACATTAGTGTTAAATGAATAGTTACTTTTAAAGGTGAGCTGTTAATCACTGAAACTGAATCAAATCAGTAACTTGATTCATTAACGAATCATTCAGAGCTGTTTTGTTAACTGGATCAACTGATTCATTCAAGTCAGATAGTATTTGCATACTATCCATCCTAATTAATATTAAAAATTAGAATTAGTTTGATTTTGAAGTGCAGATCCATGTACATTCTAATGGCTATATTACCCACAACACATTGCACGCTGGATGAGGATGCAATTACAGATACAAATTTGAATAAAAAGTGTTTAAAAACAACAAACATGGCAGAGTATGTGAGATCGACGGTTAAGTAGAGAAAGGGGTTTGAGCAATTAATAATCAGTATCTAACCTGATTAAAACTAATAATATTAAGTAATGTTATCCATGTTATATTTCATCTACAACAAAATTGTGAACTTTCATAAAAATGTGTTTGGTCATTAACTTTTAAATGCATCATTATGCAAACACACGAAGAAAGTTCTTGGCATGAAAGACACGTGACTGTCATATCAATGTGCCTCTCCATTTCTCTCCAATATGGTAGGAAATTAAATTAAATGAAATGTGAAGGATGTTAACAGTGATAAAATGATTTACAGGGCAGCTTAAAGGATGACAGGATGCACATAACTAAGCGACAGGGTTATGATGAAGTAATATGTCCCAAACCTTGTCTACTATTCTGCTACACACTCAAAGGTATGTACTTTTTCTTCAAAAAGTGAGTACATACTTTTAGGGCATAGCATAAGTAGGCAAATTGGGACACAGCATCAAAAAAATGATCAGTCAAACATCACTACTTTTCTAATGAACTTTTATGAAAACAGAGGTTGCTTTGAGTGAATCACCTTCGATTTTCCTCACACAAAGCTATAGTGCGAGTCACGAGAATCACTTTTAGGGTATTTCCATCTGTTTAAAACTTGAAAACAAATGAGGTCATATGGGTTTGGAACAACATGCATGTGAATTAATTTTGAGTGAACTATTCATTTAAATTACCCACTGACAAATAACAGACATCGGTTTCTCATTCACATTTGCCACGGTTATGTTTGTCTATGCTCTAATAAAAAAAATAATAAAATAAAATAAAAGCCAATGTGTTATTATAACTGATATCCATAACCATTTACAGGGATGTTCTCCAACATTAATTCAAAACGCAGACTGAACTGCATTAAAACCCATCTGGAGTCAAGGGAATGTTTAATACCTTGGATTGGGTGATCTGACCTCTCTGGGACCCTGGCCAGTTTGAAAGAGTTCCAGGAGTGCAGTGTGGGCAGAGAGGAGGAGGCCTGCCGCCCGTATGACTCATCATACTGTGACACCAGGCAGTGGGAGGAGGGGACGTCATGATGAGAAAATAACTGCCTTAAGGGAAGACCCTGAATTAAACCCACAGACATGGTTTGTGAAGGACAGAACGGATCATTCACAATGCACAATATACATTGCTAATAATATGGAATGCTTGATAGAGATGATATTTAAGAAGAAAAAAAAACATACTTCAAGTGAATCTGTTATTTGTAGGCAAAACCTGAGTTTTGATCAAGTTTTGCACTTCCAGTTCTATCATCCTGAAATCACTGGGTTGTTTAAATGGGTTTAAGAGCATGTAAGAATCATAAACTTTTGTTGCTCACAGAGCTTATTTTCTGCAGTAATCCAAAGACCAATGGAAAACGTTTCAGGTTACTTATGTAACCATGGTTCCCTGAGTAGGGAATGAGACACTGCATCCTCTAGGGGTCGCTACGGGGAATGCCTCGTTGTGACCCGTATTTGAATCATACATTGAAAAAACACCAACAACACGTTGGCCGGCGACAGCCCATGACATCCCTACTGGTGCGATTATAGTATAAATACGCACCGGGAGAACATGTCATTCACTTCTTCATCTGAAGCTTGCGTTCGAAGCATGGCAGGAAGCCTAGAGGACGCAGTGTCTCGTTCCCTACTCAGGGAACCATGGTTACATAAGTAACCTGAGACGTTCCCTTTCAAGGGAACGAGACACTGCGTCCTCTAGGGGTCGCTATGGGGAACGATATACCCATGCCGCCATGCTGAAGGGAGTGTGGGCCAGAACCATGGCGAGCACTAAGTAACAACTTTACCATTTTCATGGTGAGTTGACCCTGGGACGTCAGACGGCTGTCCGTGACTTTATCCCCTATGGCCAAAGGCCTAGGCTACATACCCAACTTACCTGTTAGGGCCAGACTCCTGGGCCCGGGGTAGAGCTCAAGGCTTGGAATCATAATGGATTCCTTTAAGGGGATACGACCAAGAACCTAGTATCACACTTAATCTTGGCCTGTCACACAGGGGCTACCGCTTGCTCTTGCATAAGCTCTGAAAGGAACTGTCTCAACAGACCTCTAGTGGCCACACCCTGTTAAAGTAGGTATCATAGGATACCTAAGTGGAGTGGTGCCCAAGGTGAATGGGGCTTAAACCAGCTCAAGAAAGGGCACGAAGCAACTGCGCGAAGCCCTCACCATACAGGATTTTAGAAAAGAACTTACCACAATGTGGATTTTAGAAAGTGCAAAAAGCCTTCATGTGCACACTTACCATAACATGGATTGCCCCCTCAAGGACATTGCGTGCGTGCTCTTTGCCCAAACAAACAACACAGAGATCGTGTGTAATCAGGTGTCAAATATTAAAGAAATAACATCATCCTCCAGCAGCTTCCTCTCGTCCACAGTCGACGAGCGCGAAAGGGAAAACCCCTTTTTAAACTCATCAGCCGGATCCACCTGCGATCCCCACGAGCCCATCCTCCTCCGTGCCTCAGCAGAGGTGGGTCCTGAGCCGCGGGAAGCAGATGGCTGCCCCCCTTTCCTCGAAAAGAGAGACAAACGAGAGCGGAGCTTTTCATTCAAATACTCTCACAATGAACGCGGAATGCCCCCTCAAGGACATTGCGTGCGTGCTCTTTGCCCAAACAAACAACACAGAGATCGTGTGTAATCAGGTGTCAAATAACGACGACGCGGATGCACACACCCTCTAAACGCTTTGCTAGTGCTCGCCATAACGATAGGAATATAGATCGCTCTTACCACGGAAATGCACGCTTCAAACAAAACGGTCAGTGAAGACGAAGAAGAGAATGACATGTTCTCCCGGCACCTATTTATACTATAATCGCACCGGTAGTGATGTCATGGGCTGTCGCCGGCCAACGTGTTGTTGGTGTTTTTTAAATGTATGCTTCAGACATGGGTCACGATTAGTGTTGCTTTCGTCAACGAAAATTATGACTAAATATCGTTGTCAACGAACCTTTATCACGTGACGAAAACGAGACGAGACGCAACGTAAATGCTGGTCATGTGATGACTATAATTAAATGTATAATGCAATATTGTTGACGAATAAAAAAGAGAACAAATGTGGTTTACGAAATAAAAACTATGCTAAAATGTCTCTTCATTTTCGTTGACCAAAACGAGACGAAACTAAATGTTATAACGTTATTTCGTCTCGTTTAGTCGTGTTATTATTATTATTTTGCAGTATTTCTGTTTCCTGTGTCTCACTTCAGGGGCTGCATCAGGTCGCACTGCGCAGACGCAGGCGATGTCACTTCCTCAAGCCCCACACACGGCATTATTTAGAAACACTGCATCTATTATATAATATCCATTTCTAATGTCACCAATAATTTGAGATGCACTGAAATTCCGGCTGCCGAAAATTAGTTCACCGCTCAGGTTCCACTTTCACATGGTGTGACGCTCTGCGTATTATCCTGCTCTATGCGTACCTCCATGAAGTTGGGCCCCCACCCAACGCAAAACGTCGGCAAAATAGTCTCAATCGTTTGTGCTCCGTTTGTGCTGTAAAATTTTTATTTTGTGCTGCTTTGGTTTTTTAGATATTAAAATATTATTTAGTGATCATTCTGAGGTCACTCAGCCCCCCACATGCTTCAAAATTACCCCAAATAGTCTTGTTTGTTTATTCTTCGTTTGTGCTGGTAATAATTTAGTTTTCGCTACTCGTTTTTAAGTTAAAATTTATATTAAATGCACCAGTTCAGCTAGGATCTGGAGGTACTTGCGTTGCGTGTCCAGGGTTCCCTTTGTTGTTGTCCTTGCAGAAAAGGGGGTTTCCCACGGTTGCTGATTGGCTGGAAGTTCAGTCTTGGGAAGCCAGTGGTTGGGTGTTGGCTGACGACGCAGAGTTGTGGTTGAAGTTGAAGTTTTAGATGCCACTCGAGGCACGGCGTTAGGCAAAACTTAACTCAGAACACAAAACTCTCAACGGAAAATAAAATAAACTAAAGTAAAGAAATAGAAGTAAAGTTTGACGAGACTAGGTGGCGTTTCTCCTCATGGTTTTGGAGGAGCTGGCGTGTAAGCCAGAGCACGCTCAAAAAGCTAAAAAAACATGACTAAAAAGCATAGCTCAAAGCTATGACTAAAAAGCCGCATGGCTAAAAGTGATGACTTGAAAGCACATGACTAAAAAGCCAGGAAAAGGGAAAAAAAGGGAATGATTTGATGGTGTCCTGAGTATTTAAACTGGGCTTTTGGACACATCCCAAATGGTGTTTTGACCAATTAGATATCGTCTTTGCCCGGGGTGTTGTATATTTCTCCTCCCAATTCATAAATCAAATGTTATCTTATCAGTCACATGGTCCGAGTTTTTCCCGCTCTTGCAGAGTATAATTTTGGACATGATTTCTATAACAAGAATATGATACATTTGACAAAGAATTGATTGGAAGAAACGTTTCAAGCATGAATTATTTTCAAACTCACACATACTAAACATGAATATGAACCCTTAAGCTATTCAATAGTTATTAAAAAGACATACACAGTAAATGATTAAACATGATGAACTAATGTGTGGGTTACATACATGATAGGGAGTTAAGCAATGGACTGATATTAGTTTATAAGCCCTTTTGAGTTCATTTTGGTGCATCTACATCTGTAAAAGACAGTTTCTGTACCATTCTGTGAACAAGGACATGTTCTGTGAAGACCAGAGAGTTAAGAGGTATGTAAAGAATTTCTGTCTGGTCGTTGTCTTCTAGGTGGGGGAAGTCAATCCAAAGAGCTCGTGATTACTATCACTGGTTTACATGATGGTCATGCTCTGCATTTCTTTGACCATTAATCTTGCTTGCCCCAAAATTGACAATCTCCTTCCTGAGATGTTATGATCAGTGTGTACTCTGTGTTCATTTTAAAAGCTGTTCTGTGAAAGTTGGTTGGTTAGGTTTGCTTCAGACTGGCTTGTGGCTCCAGGATCTGATTTACGAACATCCTGTGTCTTGGGCCTCTGTGGAATTCGGCTCCTCATGTTTCAACCATGTTCTTGACCAAATCTTAGATTGTCTGATACCCTACACAGGAAACATCTATGTAGTACAGTATTGTTTCTGTTTGCAGTAGTCCTACTGTGTTGTAACAAGGTGTGGTAAATGGGCAACTCTGGTAACACTGCCCTCTCATTCATTGATCTGCTAACCGTTATGCTCATGTGTCCTCTGATAATAATAGCTTTCTAGGATTAAACATTATTTGGATAATTGGTAAAAAAATTTTTTTTAAAAAATCTCTTAATAGCCCTACTGTGTGTTAGACTTACCCCGAAAAACTAAAAAGCAATTTATTTCATTTGTAGGCCTATCGTGATTTTTTTTATTTGTGCTATCATTAGTAATTTCTTTATTTGTTCTTATTTTATTATTAACTGCTTAGCCTCCTTGTCATTTTTTATTCAATTCAAAGTTTTAAATCAAGCGGTCTCGTGCTACTGCAACAAAATTACCCAGCTGAAAAGTCAAAAATACACTGAGTGAGCAAAACTTTGTTTAATTACCATTATAACTATCTCACAATGTTTACATATGAATAAAAGCCTACATTAAAATCTTATATAAATTGGTCTCTTCATTAGAAATTAGCCTACCGATTGCCACCATTGATAGACACATTTTTTTTATAACATTAAAAATAGCTGTATGACATTATAATCTGCAGTTCTTCCCTGTTGTACCAAATATCTATACTTTTCAAATTATCACATCGAAGTTAGAAATTCAAATATTGTGACAAAATTAATTTTGTAGTGCGCCACAAATTTGTTCAAATTTCCAAAGGGTGCCGCGACTAAAGAAAGGTTGGGAAACACTGATTTAGAAGACGAAAATCAAACAAAGTTAAGTCTGACACAGAGGAAGGGACCGATGGCCGGCCAGCCGGGGTTCGTCTTTATTTAAATTTATGTGTGTGTACTTCTAACATGTTTGGTTGGTAAAATAAATGTTGTAAATTCAAATCAGAGCATCTTCCGTGTCTGGAATGGATGTATTCTTGAGTCTATAAGGTAACAATAATATAATAAGATAACCTTGTTTGAAATGGGTTTGGCTAAAAGAAAATTTTGGTTTTGTCTATACTACTAGGTACTTATACTATATTGACTGGGTTAAATAGAATTGCATTTCTAAAAAGAGACTAAAATAAAATTTTCATTGACTAAAACTAGATGAAAATAGTCATGGATAATTCTGACTAAAATGCTCAGACTTTTAGTTGACTAAAACTTGACTAGACTAAAAAGAGTATGAACGTGATTAAAACTAATAAAAACTAAAATGACAGCTTCACACAAAGACTAGACTAAAACTAAAATTAAAACAGGCCGCCAAAAACAACACTAGTCACGACGAGGCGTTCCCCATAGCGACCCCTAGAGGATACAGTTCGAAGTTCCCTTGAAAGGGAACCCTTTAGGGTTTTTGTTGAGGGATCCACAAAAATGCCATCACTGCAGCACTCCATTACGTAAAAGTCACCTAATAAAAAAATAAATATGTGGACAATACTGATTGTTAGTTTAAATTGTTTAATAATTTTACTTGCATATTATATTTTTTCCTATGGGAAAAAAAGCCCATTACAATGTACAAAACAATTCACCTAGCAACAAGTTGAACATTGTACCAATATTACAGTAAAATTTATTAAAATTAATATGTAGTATTCTTAATTTTTGCTACAATTGATAAATAACAAGCAAAATGGTGATAGCTGCAAAGCAGCACTGGTTTTTGTTATGCTGATGGTCTAAATTAAAACGCAATCAAAATCAAGTTTTCCAGAGTGCTTTCAATTTAATATAATAATAATATATAAGTTGACTTACATATAATTATATGTAAGTCAACTTATATATCATTATTATATTTAAGTGAAATATGTATAAGCATGCAAATAATTGTCTCCCTCTACTACCAAAGTTTTTGGAACTTGGTTTGAAAGTCAAAAATAATTTTTACTTTTAAACACTTGAAGTCACATGAAGACAGTTTTACAAGAGTTTTACAATGACAGCTCAGAGCTCCAAGAAGATGCAAAGGACTGTTATTTTGGAGCTTAATAACACGTTTCACGTCTATGTACGCCTGTCGGCCGGCATCAAAACCGAATGTTATTTTAAAACTGTTGTGTTTGTGATGTTTGGTAAATGATGCATGAACTGATGAATTAGTCCCAAACCTCTGATCTGCGAAAAGCCCTTTGGCACATGACAGCATCGGGCCTGTGTGACATGTGGGGCATGTAGTCCATACTGTAGCTGCTGTTCGCCGTCCCGAGTGAACTGTCTCACCACACACACATAAGAAAGACAGAAACACTCAGCAAACAAATCCCACGCTCAGCAGAGCTTGCGGTTCCTTATTGATCGTAGATGTACTCTCTCAGGTCTGTTCCTGCAGAACGACTTGCATCAATCCCATTTGTCTGCCTCCAGTCTGTGCTGACCAGGCTGATCAGCAGCGCTAATCACTTTTGCATGGATCTGAGCACTGTCTGAGGAAGTGCACCCCTTTCAGGGATTACACATTGCATACTGACAAGTGCTTAAGTAGTGTGTTAACTACTCAAAACAAGAATGATTAGAGATTGTCTATAAATAATATTCACCAATATATGTTAGAAGCTAAAAACATTTTTAATGCAATATTGAAATAACTCAGCAACTTTGAATTCAGTAATGCGTTAGAAACAAAATTCTTGGTCTTAGTATTTAACACAACTACATGTTATTATGATTTTTTTTGAGCCAATAGGTTTTCATCAGAAACCTTTTACAAGCAAATGTGAGGACCTGATGGTGTGGATGCCAAATATGAGTATTTTCAGTATATTTACTATTAATTAATTTAATAGTTAATACATTTTAAAGTTTTTAGCGCAATTCAGACAAATCCCATTGAACAATATTTAAGCCCTACATTTTTGTTTCTCATTCAAGAAGCCTTTTCATTCAAACAACTATATCTTACAATACTAAAGAAAATCAACTTTAATTTCATGCTGACTTCAAAGTAGTACGGCCAAAGGCAAAAAAACTTAAGCTGCAATACTGAATTTTATCAAAAAAATTCAGTATAGCAAAGTCATACTATTTCTGACTAAAATTATAGCAGGAACAGTAAATAGGCCTAGTGCATAATGACATTTAGCTTCAGTTAGTATCAGTTTAGAATACTATTTAAAATATATTAATTTTAAAAATACAGAAACACTTAGTCAACAAATGGCAAAGTCGGCCAGCTATTTATTATTATGTAAATTTTTGTGCCACCTAGTGGTTTAAAGGAGAATAAAGTCAAACCTCGTATTCCACTGCTTCTTGAAATCAGCATTGATTAGACTATATGTATTTATTGTAAACTTTATTATTAAGCGAAACAAACTTTTTGCTGAAATATCCACACTAATATATATATATATATATATATATATTATAATAATAATAATAAGATAGCGTCTGTCGATGAGATGCGCATGCATTTTGGTATAAAATCAAACAATAATAATTGTGGAAAGAAAACAACTTGTTACGTTTGTCGTTTAATCACGAGAAAATTCAGTCGTTTCAAGAATAAAACATATTTTATGTCGAAATCACGAGAAACTTAAGTCGTGATAACGATAAAACAACTTTTGTACAAGTAAATTAAGTCGAGAAATCCACACAACACAATTCTATCTATAAACTATGAATACAAAAATACATTAATCTTGATAAAGCAACACATATACACCTACATGTAATCTCTCCTCTGCCCAATTACCAATGAGTACTTCGTTGCTGTATTTACAAAGCTGACTCAGAGCAGAGCCGTCGATGCAAGCGATCGTCTAGAGTTCTGTTGCCATGGATACACCAAACACTAGGGGAGAATTTCAAACTTACGTGAGCACGATCCCTATGCCATACTTCCTACTCCCTTCGAAGGGCAGAGCTCTTTAAGTGAGTTCTTTCAAGGGTGTATGCAAATACTGTCTCGTGTAAGCGTTTGGACCTCCCAGGCAAAGGGTCTGTTTGACCAAATGTTACCTTGACAGCGCCGCGCGGCATTCAGATGTTGCAACTAACTAACTAACTAACTAAATATTATTCAAACGTTGTCTAATTGTGTCTAAATGAAAGTTTTGAGTATAGGCTTTGTAGTAGAAGAAACTGCTGAACATGCAAATAAATAGGCTAGATGTCAGATAGCAACATTTTGACCTTTCGTATTCACAGACAGTCCATATCGCGACTTAATACTTTGTTGGCCATAATTTTTCCCCCTTCTGCACAGGTATGGCGGTATGTTTTATGACTGAGGCCTCAAGCAGATATAAATGCCTTTTCTTTATTTATTTATTTCTTGTAAAGCATACAAATATCAAGAAATTTGTGTATTTTATCTACAATTTGCCTTAAACTAAAAAATTATTTGTCATATTATTATAAATTTCTTGCAGACGCAGTATACCTCTAACCACTGTTTTTTTTTTTTTGCAGGTCTGACACCACACCCTACATCCCCTAAAAATGTATGTTGCTACCTTCAATATTTTAAAATAAACTGTGTCAATGACTGTAATTTTTAATGCCTTAAACTTTATTTGTTTTTCTTTTTTTACTTCTAGAACCCAGATTTGACATAACTGTATACCCATTTGAGACCTACCTGTTTTAAGTTGCGATTACCCCATATACTTCTACTGCTAAGCCACATTGTAAGTTCTCATAGTTAAACCTTAAAGCAGCACATAATTGTGAGATAATGTCCTGTGTATTTGCTGGTATATTACTTAGATACTTGTATAAAGAATAATGTTGATTATATATAGTTCACCAAAAAATGAAAACGTCTCAGTTACGTATGGTAACCCTCATTCCCTGAAGGAGGGAACGGAGACGTCACGTCGGATGACCGACGAAATTGGGATCTCGCTTAGAGAGACCAATCCACTTCGAGTGTAAACTAAACGAGCCAATGCACATTGGCATGCGATTATTGCATCCAGCTGCTGCTGATCACAGCGTGAGTATAAGTAGGCAGCAGATGCAGCGCATATTCAGCTTTTCGCTTCGGAGCCGAGCGATCACTTAGTTCTGCTCCTGACTACTCTACTGAGAGAAGACGACTGAACGAGTTCAGCGCGCTCTTGGAGAGCTCTTCGTGTTGGCGGTACGGCGCTTCAGCGGTGGTGGTTTCCCATGTCGAGTGGGTTGGACACTTCAGGCTGCACTACCCCCTGTTTGTGTTGCAGATGATCATCTCCCCTGTGCGCCTCAGCACGCTAAAAGAGCTTTTTCCCCTAAAAGAGCAATTTCGGGTGCGTCTTTTTAAAGACGACGTTGC